AGAGTCTGTGTCTCCCTCTCTCTCTGCCCCTCCCCCCCTCACACTCTCTCCCTTTTTCTCCAAAATAAACATTAAATAAACATAACATTATTATTATAATTATTATTATTATTATTATTATTATTATTATCTTTATTATTGTTATATCAAGGAGTCATAGATTGATTTCTGGGTTTGGAGTTTGAGCTTTGGAGTCAGGAACCGGCATTTAATCCTGACTGTTTATGAGACACATGAACTTGGTTAGATGCCATGAGCATCGGCACAGTCACCCGGGAGGTGTAGTTACCACAGCGGTGGTCCTGGTTTTATTTGTGGATGAACTGCTTCTTGGTTTCATCAGAGTTGAAATCAAGAAAAATATTTGACATGCCAACAGTGCCTACATTTCTCTGCTCTAATGATTTGAAATCAGAAACAAAAATGATTTTTTTCTCTTGACTTGGGAACGTCAAGCAGGAGAAAGGCCGGTGGTCTGCGTGTCACAGGCAGCAGGCCTGCTTGTGTCCTTTGTATGACTGTGGTCCTCTCTGAGGCTGGTTCTCTAGGAAGGCCAGGCACTGGAAACCAGGGCCACCTCTGCTCCCGTGGGCCCTGTGGTCTGATGTTGTGGGCACACCGGCCATTTGGAGGAAGCGAGCGTGTGTTTCCCAGAAAGCATGGAGGAGTGGGGCCCTGGTGGGCGCAGAGCCAGCTGCGTTTGGTCTGTAAATGAGAGTTATTTGGAAAGTGTTCTGGGAAGCACTTCCTTTAAGTTGGTTCCAGTTATACTCACAGATACTTTGACATTTTTGTTTTCTGATGAAAACCTTTTAATCTGTATGCTGTTTTTGATCTAGGAGCAAATTTGCAGAAGGTGCCAGGAATTATTTGGAATTTGAAGAATTAACTGTGAGCCAGCTCCTGCTTTGTCTAAGGGAAGGAAACCAGAAGGTGGAGAGACTTGAAATTGCCCTCAAGGAAGCCAAAGAAAGGTAAGAAATAGGTAATTTGAAATATTCATGCCCTGGCACAGCTTTAGAGAGATGTGATTAAGATACCAGATAATCCATCCACGTAAGGAATACATTTCAGTTTCATCTAGAATATTCAGTTTTGGAACCATTTCCACATTATAATTTTAGAACATTTTTTTCCACCAAATAGGAAACCACTTCCCACTGACACGGATTCCTCATTCCCCACCCCCGGTAATCGGTTTTCTGTCTCCACAGATTCGCTTTTTCTGGACATTTCGTATAAATGGAATCATGTAACATGTGCACCTTAGTGATTGACTTATTTTATGTAGCATGTTTTCCAGGTTCATCCATGTTGTGGCGTGTGTCAGTTCCTCATTTCCTTTTTGTTGCCAAGAAAGAGTCAGTCCACCATGGGGCTGGACAACATTTTATTTATCAGCTGGTGAACGTTTTGCTTCCCAGTTTATGCCTATTGTGAATAATATTTGCTTTAAACATTCATGCACAATTTTTTGTGTGGAGGTATATATACATATATTTTTTTAATTCTCTAGGGTTATATACCCAGGAGTGGGATTGCTGGGTCATTGGTAACTCTGTGGTTAATAGTTTGAGGAAATACCAAACTGTTATCCACATTGGCTGCTCCATTTTATTGTTCCACCAGCAATATATGAGGGTTCGACTTTCTCCCACATCCTCACTGTGATTTTGATTTCATTTTCTTTTTTTTTTAAATTTTTTTTTTTTCAACGTTTATTTTTTTTATTTTTGGGACAGAGAGAGACAGAGCATGAACGGGGGAGGGGCGGAGAGAGAGGGAGACACAGAATCGGAAACAGGCTCCAGGCTCTGAGCCATCAGCCCAGAGCCCGACGCGGGGCTCGAACTCACGGACCGCGAGATCGTGACCTGGCTGAAGTCGGACGCCAACCGACTGCGCCACCCAGGCGCCCCTTGATTTCATTTTCTTAACAACTAATATCTTTTCATGTTGCTCATTTGTATACCTTCCTTGAAGAAACATTTCTTGAAATCCTTTGCCCATTTAAAAAAATTGGATTGCCTTTTTATTACTGAGTTATAAGAGTTCATTATATATTCAAGATGCAAATCCCTTATGAGGTATATGACTTGCAATATATTCTCCCATTCTGTAGATTATCTCTTCAGTTCCTGGGTGCTACCATTGGCAGCAGAAATTTTTTTTTTATTTTTATGTAGTCCAGTTTATCTATGTTTCTTATGTCATTTATGCTTTTGGTGTTGTATCTAAGGAGCCATTGACTAATCCAGGGTCATGAGGATTCACTCCTATGTTTTCTCCTAAAAGGTTTATAGTTTTAGCTCCTACATTTAGGTCTCTGATCCATTTTCAGTTCATTTGTGTATATGGTGTGAGGTAGGGGACCAACTTCATTCTTTCGTGTGTAGATTTCCATTCATCCTAACACCATTTGTTGACCATTCTTTCCCTCACTGAACTGTCTTGCCCCCCTTGGAATAAATCAGTTGGCCATACCTGTAAAGATTAATTTCTAGACCCTCAATTTCATTCCTTTGATTTATATGCCTATTCTTTGCTAATACCACACTGTCTTGATTACTATAGTTTTGTAGTAAATTTTGGAATCAGGAATAATCAGGACGATTATTTTGGCTACTGTGGATTTCATGTTTTTCTGTATAAATCTTAGGATAAGTTTTTCAGTTTCTGTCAGGGGTGGGGTGGGGGGGCGGTGGTGTGGAAAGCCAGCTGGGATTTTGTTAAGGATTGCATTGACCCTGGAGTTCAGTTTGGAGAGTTATGCCCTCTTAACATTGTTAAATGTTCTGATCCATGAAAGATAATCCATGGATTTATTTAGGTCAGCTGTGATGTATTTCAGTGATGTTTTGTTGTTTTCAACATATAGGTCATACACTGCTTTTCAAAATTTGTTCCTATGTATTCTGGTCTTTTTAGAACTGTATACATGAAATTGTTTTCTTAATTTAATTTTTGGAGTATTCTTTGGTAGTATGCAGAAATATCACTGGCTTTTTTTTTTTTTTTGTATATTATATATTGATCTTGTAGCTTGCAACCTTGTTAGAACTCACGTATTCACACTATTAGTTTTTTAGTGGATTCCTTAGGATTTTCTTTATACAAGATCACATCATCTGTAAAGAGATAGTGTTACTTCTTCCTTACCAACAAGAAATACTTTGTATTTCTTTTTCTTCCATTATTCCACTGGCTAGAATCTCTAGCACAATGTGAAATATAAGTTGAAAAAGCAGACATGCTTATCTGTTCCTAACCTTAGAGGGAAGGCCTTCAGCCTTTTACCATCAAGTACAATGTTAGCTGTAAGGTTTCATAGATGCTGTGTCAAGTTGAGAAACTCCATTCTAGTTATAGATTGTTACAATTTTTATCATGAAGGGTTTTGGATTTTGTGAAATGCTTTCCATGTCTATGGGGATGATTATATGGGTTTTTAAAGCTTCTGTTAATATGATGTATTATACTGATTGATTTTCACATGTTAAACCTTTCATTCCTGGGTAAATCCCATTGGTCATGATGTATAATCCTTTCTATATGTTGCTAGTTTGGATTGCTCAAATTTTATTCAGGATTTTTGCATCTTTATTCATAAGGGGTATTAGTCTATAATTTTCTTTTCTTGTGATGCCTGTGTCTGTTTTTGGTATAAGGGAGATACCAGCCTCATAGAATGTGGTAGACGTGTAAACACACACAAATACTTTGGGGTAAAATTCATCTATGGTATAGAGTTGTGAAGTCAATAAATTTCTATGTGCAAATGTACTTTTTAGAAGTGCAAAATGCTAAACCAGGTAAGACATGGAAGAGGTTACACAGTAGTTTTAGGACTCCAGTGATTGCAACATTTAATCATAAATATACTACAATATAATTAATTCTCTCAGAAGTTATAGATGCCTTATTGCTCTTAAAATTCTAGTACTATAAGAAGCACTTCCTGGGGTCCCTGGGTGGCTCAGTCAGTTCAGCATTCGACTGTTGATCTCAGCTCAGGTCATGATCTCACGGTTTATGAGTTCAAGCCCCACGTCAGGCACTGCTAACAGCTTACTCCCCTGCTCACTCTATCTCTCTCTCTCAAAATAAACTTAAAAAAAAAAAAAAGCACTTTCTAACTGAAGCAGTTAAAATTTTTAACTATAGAAAGATCTTAAAATGTGAAACCTATGTTATTTATTCAGATGAGGTTAATCTGGAAAACACATTGGCCTTTGTCCGGTGACTTATCTGATAGCTTTTCAAAGGTGCTAAGGGCATGCTGGCTCTAAATCCTAGGATTTTACACCATATGCTACTGCTGTCCCTTAGAAAATTTCAAAGGTTGACTTCTAGGAGACTAGCACCATGTATTGTCATGGAGCAAAATATTTGTCCTATCTTTTAGACAAATCCCAAAAGCATAGTTAACAGTGCACAGATAAATGAACAAAGGAATGGATGGATGAATGCCCTCCTTTTACACCTTAGTTATCACAGCTGGTTTTTGAAGGGAAGGAGTTACGTGTTGAGGAAGGCCCTCAGTAGCCTGAGTAATCCATGTGTTCGTATTTTATAGTCATGTTTACCCCTCCCATGTTCCATACATCATTCTCAGAAGTCAGGTGTAGCCAGTAATTCATCCTTATTTAGCATGATCAGCTTTCATGGTGGAGTGGAAACTTAGGAATTTGCTAATTATACATCCTGATCGTTCATATGAGATATATATAATTCCTGCTTCCAAAATAATTACAGCCCTCTGTCTGCAGCCACAGCCCTTCAGCCTGCCCTAGGAAGTCCGGCCTGCCTTTGAGATGGCTGTTTTTAGTCTCTCCCCTTGAACACCTGTGAAGGGTCCCATTCCCAGTCGCATTGAATTTCTACTTTGTGCGCCAGCCTTCTTTCTGTATATAACAACCGGGAAGTCAGTGATAGTTACCAAGACTAATGTTCTCTAGGTGAGTGTCAGGATGATGATTTTCTCCTAGCTAAGGCAGGACTGAAACTGAGAAACCTGGTTAGCCTGCTTTGGTTTCATGCTCTATAGGAAATGATGAAAACACATTCCAAGACCTAACATGTGTTTTTCTCAAACAAGTGAGTCTTCAACTCTCTTCATTAATCATGAGAAATAAGGGTATAAACAGTCTAAAATTTATTCTGAAAATTTTTAGATTTGTGGAGAGAGAAGCCAATAGGTTTGTCTTTTTTTCCCCATTGTTTTCCAGGATTAGTATTTCATGCAATTTTTGTTTTCTAAACAAACTTAAACTGACAGCAAGTAAGTGGGGGAAGTGTGTAGAAAGTGTAGCCCAAGAGAATCGAGAGGTAGCACAGAAATTCAGTCCAAGATGAAAATTTTCCTTGGAGAAGAATTTTCCCATGGAGCCCTGTGTCGGATGTGAATAGTGTAATGAAGGCTCATCCATCAACCCTGCATCAGCTGGCCCTTAACCCATTTATTTGGCTTGGCCTGAAAGAGTGCCCGTGCAGCCCCTTAGGTTTGGCAATTTGCATGGGTTCCAACCATTTTGATGTTTCCCTCCATGTACCGGGCTCACATTGCTGCTGAATTTTCCCCCTGTTGTGAACACAATCTATTGACCTCCAACTCTGAAGGATGGAGATTTAACTGTCTTTCACCCCCCTCGTTGTCATCGCACACAGATGCTTCCGGACCTGGCTTGCCCACTCCACCTCCAAAATCGGCTATGTTGAAATGTAGTGAGATAAGTACTCAGTGTTGATGTTATTAGACATGCACATGGAGCTCTGAGTTGAGCTCTGCTCTGTGCCTTGAACATTCTTCCTTTTTTTATACAACTTATTTTTTTTTTTGCCTCTATGCATAATTACATTTTTAAAACTTGCTTAGTTTCCTCATGTTCTTCCCCAACAAGGAAACCTCTCAGATGTGTTAGTAGTCTAAGAGTATTCTTGCTGCAATCTGGCCTGCTTGCTTCCCAGGTCCTGCTACATTGAACTCATCTTGGCACCTCCCTTTACTTTTGCCCTGGGGAACTCCTTCATCTCTCCTGTGTTCCATCACCTGTTTCCTGAATCTAATGCCTTTCCTATGCTTTTTTTTTTTTTTTTAATTTCTTTTCAAATCAAGCCCACCATATCTCCACTGACTTACTGAAAAAAGAATTTATGGGCAGTATATTTTCTGACACCTTCATATCTGAAAATCTCTCCTCCTGCCTTTATACTTCATGGATAGTTTGGCTAGGTATAGAATTCTGTAATCGGATATAATTTTCCCTCCACTTTTCGAAAACGTGGCTTCCTTGTGCCCTCGGTTTTGGTGTTACTGCTGAGAAACCCAGTGCCATTGTGATTCTTCATGTTTGTGGTGATGAGACTTCTCACATGCTTTGGTGGTAAACCTGTTTTTCATCTGTCTATTCTGGACACTCTTGGGCTCTTTCATTCTGCAGACTCATGTCCTTCAGTTCTTTAAAAATGATCTTGAATTCATTTAGTAATTATCTCTAACCCTCAGTTTTCTTTGTTCTCTCTTTCTAGCATCACTGTTCTTTTTGAATTGGATCTCCTGTGGTTTAACTCCTTGTTCCCTTTTTCTAGCTCTCCTTTTTTCTCCTTTCTCCTTTCTGATAGATTTGATCAACTTTCATCTTCCTTTTTTGCAGGAGAGAATCTTTTTTATTGTGTTCCATGTTTTTGGTGGTTGTAGTGTTTATGTGTCTAAGGATCCTTCATCAGTGCTGTTTTTTTACTTTTTTTTTCCCCCACTGGCATATTCTGTTTTCAGTAAATTACTCTTTTCAGTTTCATATTAAGATTTCCCTTAAATGTCCAGCAGTCTTGCCTGTTTGCTCAGATTCAGCAGGATAATAGGGTATTAGAAGCTGATTGCAGCTCTGGGTCCACATCTCAGGAGATCTGGCTGGGAGGTTTTCTCGGGGAAGCCCTGTGTCAGAAACTTTAAATCTTTTCCCTTATGCCGGAGTATCCTTATGTACTCCAACGAGGACTCTTCCAGCATCCTGCCTGGAAGGTACTTTTCTAGATGTCAAAGTCCTTGAGTAGGAATAGGTGGCTGAGGGTCTTAGTGTTCTGTGTGTAAGTTCCCCTTACAGAAAAACCCACTTCTCATCTCTTACTAATGTCTGACTCCAGAAACCCTTTATTTTGTGATCTTGTAGTCCCTCTTAAACAGGCCCCATCTTTGTCCCCAGATCCCGAGATACCTGGTTTCGATGACTCCTGAGCCTTTTGGTTCCCACAGTGTCGATGACCTCACACTGGCTCTCCCTACTGTTGGCTTCAGACCCAGCTCTATTGGCTCAGTTCCCACTCGTAGCCATGCCCCCCAAATCTTCTTGCTGTTATTTCCTTTCCCTTTCTCTCATACGTGGCTTTTTAAAAGTCATTTTGGTGGGGTTCAGGGTGGGACAAGAATTACATGCATGTATTCAGTATACCATCTTTAACCAGAAATCTCTTCTTGTTTTATTTGCGCTGGGCTGGCTTTCATGTGGTTATGATTCAGTGGAGGAAGGTTTGTCCATTTGTGTGTTTTTAGGGACTTGCGACCTTTGATGGGTCCTAAAAAGGCATCCTCTCTCTGCTGAATCCTTATAAAGGGACACACACTCTTGTAACACACATGCATGACCTACGTACACACAAAAACACAGATTTTAAAAATATTTCTGCATATTACTGTTACGTGAAAAGTGGCAGTGTTTTTCAGTGTTTGGGATGATTTATGCCTTTTACCCTGCCTAAACCCATCCCTTCAATCAATTCTAGCCAATTTTACGATGAGAGCAAAACCCAAAAAAGTTAACGTAGCAAGTGCAGAGAGATTTTGAAGCCCCATATCTTTTATCGATTTCAAACGGTGTTCTTTTAGTGCTTTCTCTTCTTGAAGCCACAGAGAAAGTAACTTTTCCATATTCTGCACTTTTTCAGAGTTTCATATTTTGAAAAGAAAGCCAGTGATCATGCGGAAGTCGAGACCCAGACAGAGACGAGCAAAGAAAAAGAGAAAGAAGAGGAGAAAGGCCCAGAAACCGTGGGTACTCAGGTTCTCAGACTCTGTCACCCCCCCACCGAGGGCCCAAAGCGTGGTATCTGAAGTCGAGTCTTGTGTCGGGTTCTTCGCGTTAGAAATAGAAATAATTTTAATGTTGGATATATTCTATTTCTCTCCTATTCCATGTCCCGATTTGAAATTCATCCACAGTAAATTGTAGGGAGATGTGTTCCCATCCCAGTGATTCTAGGGAATCACGCCTCTGTCTCTTCTTGGCTGATTTCTCTCCTAACTTACTGAGTGAACAGGCCTGCTAATGGAGAAAGGAATGTTGTCCACTTTGTAATAAGATCATTTGAGAATATGACCCAGAAACTCGAGATCGAATTAAAAGCTTTTGGTTCTACCCTCCTACTGGTTTGAATGACATAGTTTGAATGAAAAGCTTGTACCGCCAGTGTTCCCGTGGCAGCTCAGAGATGTGCCCTTGGAGCCTGCCACATGGTCTTCAGCTTAGGGAAGGCTGGCGAAGCCAGGAAGTTGTGAGGGCTGCAGTTGCCCACGTGACAAGCGTGGACGTACGTAAGATGCTCACCTCAGCGGATTCATTTATTCAGCAAATGTATGCAGAGTGCATACCATATGCCATGGCCGGGGCTGAGTCTCCTACTTCAAGAGACTGACGACCACTTAAAACAGAGATGAAGAGGCAGCCTGGGCGTAATCGTACTTGGTTGACCAAAACCATTTGTCAGTAATAGAGAAGTACGGAGACTTCCAAGGCAACGTAAAACTCATTGCCAGCAATTCTGCCAGAACTGCCGGGAAAAAGGCGGTTCAGTGAAAAAAGTGGAGTAAACTGGAGACATAAATCAGCCAGGGAATATGGATGGGCATGGGTTGCTGTCTGGATAAATTAGATTGTGCTCTGACACCACTATGTTCTGTGATCCCCTGGACTGTGATCAGTGTTAACTTAGTTATGATAAAGGACGAGCAGAAATTAGCAAAACCTAAAATGCCTGCGGCCTCTCTCTATGTAAAAGTCAAAACCTTAACATCTGGGAACGTTTGTGTGAATTTTGGCTCCTACAAGTCTTAAGAAGGGAAGTTCTTGGGTTGCCAAGTATCAAAGAGGAGACGTTTTTCTTCCATTTAAATAACCTCCACCGATTTCTATAAGAAAAAGAATTAATTATGATAAAGTCATTATCACAAGTGCATCCGAATTGATCATTTATGTAAGAAAAACAGCATTTTGTGTATACATATATATGTTTTATTTATATTTATCTATTTATATTTATTAGTGATTATACATATAAATTACACATTGTGAAATATAAACTGTTATATATAACTAGTAAATACAGACATATCAGGTGACAGAGTTGTATCTAAAACGTTTCTTTTCATGTACAATATTTGGGGTGTTCATTGTCCAAAGTTTAATCAATTCACCCATCAGTCTTAGTTGGACACTAATGGTTCACACTGTTTTCTCACAAAGAGGTTCATTTGATCTCTGATGTGAATTGCATGTGCGTGCTTGGGATTTTCTGTGTGACAGGTTGGAAGCGAAGTGGAGACGTTGAACCTTCAGGTGACCACCCTATTTAAGGAGCTTCAAGAGGCTCATACAAAACTCAGCGAAGCTGAGCTAATGAAGAAGAGACTTCAAGAGAAGTAAGAGCGAGGGATGAATTTTTTCTTCTTCTTTGGAAAGTGTACATTTTTACAAAATACCATGTAAAAACATGGTTTTGCTACTGTGTTACTGAAAGAAAAATAGAAACCTAATTAAAATCTGAATTTGGAAAACACGAATGTTGAGGTGAATGCACAGGTTCACGTGAAATACTTGTACTAAAATGCGGGGGGCGGGGGGCCGGGGAAATCTGATGCAGCTGTTTGCGGGTGTCAGTGAAATGCACTAGCCTCTGTGAGGACCTGTAAAAAAGCAGTAAGCCAGATGTCCCGTGACCTTCCTGAGTCAACAGCGTTGATACAAGGACACATAAATGAAAGCTGCAAAGAGCAAAAAGAACTGGAATGAGATTTATTGAGGAAAAGAAAATCATTTTCAATCAGTTATGAAGGCTACTATTTACACTGAGAACTTTGCATGTGCTTGTTTTTCTTGATGTAACGAGTTACCCAGAATTTAGAAGAGTGAAGTTTATGTGGTTCTTTGGGATTGGCTGGCAAGCATATTCCCGGCACAGTGTAGGAGCGTATGTTGCCTTGGAGTTAAATTTACCAAGGCTAAACAGTATTCTGGTAATCTGGCACAGCATGGTAGCGAAAGCTAGGGACTTTGGACAAACTGACCTCGTTGAAATGTGGATCTACAATTCATTTGTGGTATTAGCTTGGGCAAGTTGGTTATTTAACCTCTCTGAGCCCTAGTTTTATCATTTGTAAAATGTGTGTCATTATCCCTACTTCGTAATGTGTTGGGATGTTTGACACACTTGGCGTTAATGCCTTGCATATGGCCACTGTAGTTTCATATTTACTATTATTATACTGAAATTCTCTTTCTGATCTTTAAGAGGGCTTAGGACATTTTCTCTTCCCTTATTAAATCTTTGTCATGGGGCCCCTGGGTGGCTCAGTCAATTAAGCATCCAAATTCAGCTCAGGTCATGACCTCACGGTTCGTGAGTTCAACCCCATGTCAGGCTCTGTGCTCACAGCTCAGAGCCTGGAGCCTGCTTCTGATTCTGTGTCTCCCCCTCTCTCTGCCCCTCCCCCACTCATGCTCTGTCTCTGTCTCAAAAATAAACACTAAAAAAAAAACAAAACTTTGTCAGAAGTCATAGTCTTTGTGCTTAACAAAACCCATAACTTTTTAAAATATTGACAATATCCATGGATCAGTATGCGAAAAGTACCTTTAGCCAATTACTATTTTGGTCTGTGTCTGAAGAACAAAAATATGTTTTTACATGACTACATAAGGCAGTTTTTACATGACTGCATAAGGCTTGTGTGGTCTTAGATCTGTACTTTTTTACATTAGGCATACGGATTCTGAAATATGTAAATTTATTTTCCAAGAAAAGATCTGTATTTTTTTTTAGTGTTTAGTCATGAGGGTTTAGAAATACTGCCTGTTTCTAGTAAAGAAGCAAGGAGGATAAAATATTTTAGTTTGCTTGCTAAATACTCCTTGAAAAATGCAATCCTAAATTTCTTTGTATTTGCTACATAGTCTTGGGATTTAAGAGCCACTGAGAAATGAAGGAGCGTCGTTCATCCTCATGAAATATCGATCTTTCTTAGATGTCAGGCCCTTGAAAGGAAGAATTCTGCAACCCCATCAGAGCTGAATGAAAAGCAGGAGCTTGTTTATAACAACAAAAAGTTGGAACTACAAGTGGAAAGCATGCGATCAGAAATCAAAATGGAGCAAGCTAAAACTGAAGACGAAAAGTGAGTAGCCACGACCAAATGACTACTTGCTGGAAGAAAATAGGACAGCACTTTTATCAGATTGGAAATAGGATTTGAGAATACATTAAAAGATTTTCTCTTTTATGTATCTGAAGGAGCACAGGAGATTTTTCTGAGGAGATAACATTTGTTTTATTATAACAGAATTATTAACGTGACTTGTAACCAATCTTGATTTTTTTTTTTTTGTAAAGATTGTTTTCTTTGAGAGTAAGAAAATGCTAGCAGGTGGTGGGATGGCAAAGGTAGGAGAGAAGAATTTGTTAGTTGAGTGTTCAGAAGGGGGTTGGAAAGCAAGACTAAGTTTTTCTGATATCTCCCCCAAGATACCATTTCTTACTGTCTTTTTCAATAGGTCCAAGGTAGCCACTCTCCAGGTGACACATAACAAGCTTCTTCAAGAATACAATAATTCGTTGAAAACGATCGAGGAACTGAAAAGGAAAGAGGTACTCATAGAAGAAAATTACTTCCGTAGCCTCCTAATAAAAAGAAACTGTTAAACATTTTTATATGTAAAGTAGTTGTCAATCCTTAACTAAGTCTGGTTTCAAAGGGTGCCCTTCATTTTATCATTGATTTCTCGTGTCCGAGTGCATGTGAGTTCCGGTGTTCTACCTATGTGTAACGTGCTTCGCGTGCAGGGATGGTGCTGATTCCTACAGCGGGGAGTAAGCTTTTAGGATTTCTAACAGCGGGTGGGTCTGTAGGACAGCTACCAGCATGGGCTCCCACGTGAGCAGGGCGTGGTGAGACCACTGGCTGCCCCTGGAGGGGTCGTGTCCGTTGAGCTATCATGGGGCTAGCTTGCTACTGTCAGTGACCTTGAGACCCTGGACTCACCAGACTGCAACTTCCATTAGTATAATGCCACCATGATATGGCAGTTTAAACATGGGTAGATATGTGAGGTGATGGATGTTAATTAACCTGGTTGGGGGAACCCTGTCATGCTGTATACATCTGTCAAATTGCCACATTCTTCACTTTAAATATCTTACAGTTTTATTTGTCAGTTTTACTTGAAAAAAGCTGGGATAAATAAGTAAAGATCATGGAAGCTCTGAATTTGAGTTTATATGCTTATAAATGTACTCTTTGTTTTTCATTTTTCTTAAGAGAATATTGTTCCTAAGACTTAGTAAATTTTTTTTGATTATTTATTTTTTAATGTTTGTTAATTTACTTTTTGAGAGAGAGATAGTGAGCGGTGGGGGGCCAGAGAAAGAAGGAGACAGAATCCCAAGCAGGCTTCATGCTGTCAGTGCAGAGCCCAGCGTAGGCCTCAAACTCACGAACCGTGAGATCATGACCTGAGCCGAAATCAAGAGCGAACACTTAGCTGACTGAGCCACCCAGGTGCCCCTATGTATTTATTTTTAATTAAAGTATAGTTGCAATATTATGTCAGATCAGTTTTCATAGTGATTTGATATTTACACACATTTTGAAATGCTCATAATTGTAGTTACCATCTGTCACCATACAAAGTTATCATGATAGTATTGACCGTACAGTTGACCCTTGAACAAAAGGGGTTTGCACGGGTCCACTTAATGTGCAGCTTTTTTATTTCTTTTTAAAATTTTTTTTTTAAAATGTTTATTTTTGAGAGAGCGCAAGCAGGGGAGGGACAAAGAAAGAGGGACAGAGGATCTGAAGCGGGCTCTGTGCTGACAGCAGCAAGCCCGGTGTGGGGCTCAGACTCACAAACCACGAGATCATGACCTGAGCTGAAGTTGGACACTCAACCAACTGAGCCACCCAGGTGCCCCCTAATATGCAGATTTTTTGAAGTATAGTACTATAAATGTATTTTTTTTTCTTTATGACTTTCCTAATAACATTTTCTTTTCTCTAGCTCACTTTATTGTCAGAATATAGCATATAACTCATATAACACACAAAGTATGTGTTAACCAACTAAATTATCAGTAAGGCTTCCAGTCAACCATAGACTATTACTAGTTAAATTTCTGGGGAGTCAAAAGTTATGTGTAAATTTGTGACTATGCAGGAGTAAGTACCTCTAACCCCCGTGTTGTTCTAACCCCAACTGTATCCCCTACGCTGTACTGTGCTTTCCCTTGGCTTATATTTTATAACTAGAAGTTTGTACCTCTTGACCCCCTTCATCTAGCTCGCCCATCCCCCATCTCCCTCTCCTCTGGCAACCACCAGTTTGTTCTCTGTATTTATGAGTTTGTTTCTGTTTTGTTTGTGCATTTGTTTTGCTTTTTAGATGCCACATGTAAGTGAAATCATATGGTATTTGTTTCTCTGACTTACTTCACTTAGCGGAATACCCTCTTGGTCCATCCATATTGTCACAAATGGCAACATTTCAGTCTTTTTATGGCTGACTAATACTCCATTGTGTATATACATATATACACATCACTTCTTTGATGGACCCTTGGGTTGCTTCCGTATCTTGGCTACTGTAAATAATGCTGTAGTAAACATAGGAGTGGATATATCTTTTTGAATTAGTATTTTCATTTTCTTTGGATATATACACAGAAGTGGAATTGCTGAATCATACAGTAGTTCTATTTTTAATTTTTTGAGGAAACTCCCTACTGTTTTCCAAAGTGGCTGCACCAGTTTACGTTTCCACCAACAGCACACAAGGGTTCCCCTTTCTCCACATCCTCACCAACACTTGTTCTTTCTTGTCTTTTTTGATACTGGCCATTCTGACAGGTGTGATGGGATAAATTTTTAACTTAAACAAGTTTCTTTTCCACTGACTTCACCAAGTAAGAGTAACATTAGTGGGAAAAATAACAGTAGCAGTGAGTTACAGCGTCACTGAGATCAAGGTTTGTTATTATTTCCCTTATTTTAGTGGGGTTTTTTTTTCATTGTTTTAAATTATGAAATTATAATTTGTGGGGTGCCTCGGTGGCTCAGCTGGTTAAGCATCTGACTCTTGCTTTCGGCTCAGGTCATGATCTCACGGTTTATGAGTTCAAGCTCCACATCAAGTTCTGTGCTGACAGTGTGGACCGTGCTTGGGATTCTGTCTCTCTCTCTCTGCCCCTCCACTGCTCACGCTGTGTGTATGTGTGTGTGTGTGTCTCTCTCTCTCAAAAAAAAAAAAAAGAAATTATCATTTGCAAGCTGTGAGTTAAATGAATACAACTTTCCGAGCACGTTACCGTTGCCAATGAACAGAACAGTTCAGAGCCTGTCATTTAAAAACAGACAAAACTTCCTTTAATATTTTACTACAGCAGGTTGGATTATGTCACAACCATTCTAGAATACACTTGTCTCTTGCAGTCAGAAAAAGTGGATAAGGTGGTACTACAAGAACTAAGCGAGAAACTGGCGCTGGCAGAGAAGGCGCTGGCTTCCAAGCAGCTTCAGATGGACGAGATGAAGCAGACCATCGCCAAGCAGGAGGAGGACCTGGAGACCATGACCGTCCTGAGGGCTCAGGTGAGCCGCGTCGCGACGGAGCTCAGTGGCGCCAACCCCGGTTGTGGTCTCAAATGGGAAGGCGATGGTGTTTCGGATATATTTTTGGATTTTATATTCCTTCCACCGACATATTTTGTTTAAATTTAGGGGCGCCTGGGTGGCGCAGTCGGTTAAGCGTCCGACTTCAGCCAGGTCACGATCTCGCGGTCCGTGAGTTCGAACCCTGCGTCGGGCTCTGGGCTGATGGCTCAGAGCCTGGAGCCTGTTTCCGATTCTGTGTCTCCTTCTCTCTCTGCCCCTCCCCCGTTCATGCTGTCTCTCTCTGTCTTAAAAATAAATAAACGTTGAAAAAAAAAATGTTTAAAAAAATAAATTTTATTGAAGCACATCACGTGTGGAGTGATGTGCCCAAAGTGCACCAGACCGTCCAGTGAAACCATAAAATGTGAGGGGGGAAAAACCTGCTTTTATTAGAGTAATGGGCATTTCTCTATTAAGTAGCCCATTTTTACTTTGTAACTTTGTGACAGTGAAGAGATTGCTATCGTGGCATAATGTTTACGTTTCTAGGTAAGAAATTACCCTCCGAGTTAGCGGCTAAAACAATGACAGGCATTCGTTACCTCGCAGCATTTCTGTGGGTCGGGCCTCCAGGAACAGGTTAGCAGGGTGATTCCGGCTCAGGGCCCCTCATGAGGCTGCGCTCAGGATGGACTAGAAGACCCGTTTCCAAGCCAGCTCGCTCCCATGGCTGCGGGCGAGAGGCCTCAGTGCCTCACCCCCCGGGCCTCTCCCCGGGCTGGCTTGCGCACCCCCGTGACATGGGAGCTGGCTTCCCCCACTGCACGTCACCCCGGAGAGAATGAGGCGGAAGCCACAGTGTCTTTCGTGACCTAGGCTCAGAGGCCACACACCGTCCTTCCTGCGCAACCCTAGTGCTTACGTGGGTTGGCCCTGTTCATTGTGGGAGGACACCACGTAAGGGTGTGAATACCAACAGTTGAGGGTCCCTGGAGCCATGGTGGAGGCTGGCTACTACTGTGGGAAGCGGCGTTGGGGCTTCAGTCTCGGTTCAAGTGCTGGTATGACACTTACCAAGATTAAGAGCTATTAAACTTGTAAAATGAGCATAGCAAGGCTACATTCCCAGGATTTTTGATAAGGTGCAATAAGATAGGAATGTAGGCACCCAACAGAGGACTTTGTGCATGTTTGGCCTCAATAAATACCATCTATTTACTATTACTATTTAAAATTTAACTTAAGGAAAGCCTTCATAAACATACCTGACAGAGTAAATAAACCATGTGCTGTATTAAGCTAACCCTGAATATTATTTTTTTCAAAAGATCAGAGAATTTTGGGGTGACTGGGTGGCTCAGTCGGTTAAGCGTCTGACTTCAGCTCAGGTCAAGATCTCGTGGTTCATGGGTTCGAGCCCCGTACAGGCTGTGGGCTGACAGCTCAGAGCCTAAAAGCCTGCTTCCGATTCTGTGTCTCCCTCTCTGTCTCTGCTCCTCCCCTGCGCTCTCTCTCTCTCTCTCTCTCTCTCAAAAGTAAACATTTTAAAAAATTTTTTAAAAAATCAGAGAATTTTACTGAATGAATGGTACGTGCGGTGTTTAAACCACCTACCTTGGTGTCATTGCCGAGTTCTAATTGTCTAAAGTGCACACACACACAGCTTGTCTTCTGTCAGAAGGTGGTTGGAAGGTCACGGTCACCACCCTGGTTTCTAGCAGGAAGATGCTCCTGTGACTTACAAGGTGCATCCCAGGAGGCAGCACCCATTCCGCGCCCTGTCCCCAGGTGACTGTGGAGCATCCAAATCCATCCAGGCAGTAACTTCTGTGTCTTTTACCTTCTTCCAGATGGAAGTTTACTGTTCTGACTTTCATGCTGAAAGAGCGGCAAGAGAGAAAATACACGAAGAAAAGGAGCAGCTGGCTTTGCAGCTGGCAATTCTGCTGAAAGAGAATAACGATTTTGAAGATGGAGGCAGGTGAGGGGAGGGAGGGCTCAGGCCACACACCCGGAGCCCGGGGCGCGGGTGGAGGGCAGGCGGTGGTCAGAGGTGCTTCTCCGGTCGAGCTGCAGGAAGTACTCTGGGCTCACTTCACTTGGTTGCGTCCCCGACACTCAGACACTCAGCCTGACTTACAACAAGGCCTGGTGGCGTCTCGTGGGAACCTGAGGTGTTCTTTGCTTTCAGGCCTTGTGTGTTCCCAGGTTCTAGCCTGCCGCTGTCGGGGGTCAATATTCTTAACACTTTAAACAATTCTGTAATATGTTTGCAGGGCGCCTGGGTGGCCAGTCCGTTAAGCGTCCAGCTCTTGATTTCTGCTCAGGTCATGATCTCACGGTTGTGAGATCGAGCCCCACGTTGGGCTCGCACTGGGCATGGAGCCTACCCGGGATTCTCTCTCTGCCTCTGCCCTGCCCTATTGCACTCGCTCGTGCTCTCTCTCTCTCTTTCTCTCTAAAAAGAAAAAAAAATCACTAGGTCTCGTTCTGCAGCTTGTTTTATGGAACACTGTGATTTTGGACTCTGGGTGTGTGTGTGTGTGTGTGTGTGTGTGTGTATGTGTGCAGATTTATTTCATTCTCTTGAATTGCCCTATAGTGTCTTCTTTTAGAAATACGCCCCTTTTTTCTAATCCATTTCCTTATCCAGAGACAGTTTGGTTATTTACTTATTTTTTTATCTTAATTGTTATTTTCTTTTACTACACTGTGCTACTACCAATAATATTTCAAACTCAAGTTAACCCTTAAGTTCTGGTTTTTATGAAACTTGCATTTTTTTTAGCTCTCTCCCCCCCATATTGCTCTTGAATGTCTGCTTAATGTTGTCATATTTCAGGGCTTTAAAACATCACTATAGTGTCGCTTTTCATCCCAGTAGGCAGTCCTTGATGGAGATGCAGAGCCGTCATGGGGCAAGAACAAGTGACCCTGACCAGCAGGCCTACCTCGCTCAGAGAGGTGAGTCCCGTGTGATTGTTGGTTTTCAGGGCTCCAGGGGATAACTATTCTATGAAGAGAACGCTTGAAGACAATTTCACTACATTCTACAAAATGAATTTCAGATCAGACTGTGAAAAATGTAGCACCCCGCAGTCTTATTTTCACAGTACCCTAATTCTCCATCCATTACAGACTGACTCCAGACACCAGACTCTCTTCGTGCTGGCAGTTAAGGCCTGGCATAGCCTAACTTTTAACCTTCTTCCCCTCGAATTCCCTACAGCTGTTAGCCAACAGAATCGCTCCCTGTTCCTTGAACTCGTCATAGGCTTGCATACCCGCATATACTTCCCTATGTGGCATCCTTCCCTCACACACGTCCCTGTCCCCCTCCTGTCTCTTTCCAGTGAACCCCTACCCCGTCTGCAAAACCCATTTCAAATACTATCCCTGTGATTCTAGCAGAATGTAACCTCTCCCTCCTGAATTTCCAAAGTACTCTGTTCCTCTTATAGGACTCATCTGCTATGTTATAATTATCGATGTGTTCTAAATATGCATCTAGGCGTTGTATTAAATAAGCTGTCCCAGAACTTGAATCTTCACCCATTACTTGGTGTTATGCACATAATAATGTTAGCATTTACTGAGTTTACTGTGCGTAGACACTGTCCTGATCACTTCATACACGTTATTTCTTGTGATCCTCACAAAAGTTCATGAGTTATATATTTTCACAGTTCTCCAGAAGACAAGGTTAAACAACCCAGGATCACAAGGTTAGTTAGGAGCTGAACTGGACATGGAAAACCCAAGATTATCTGACTCTTAACCACTACACGCTACCGCATGTAATAAGTTGTCATCTAATTATGTGCCACATCCAGATTTTAGTTGCCTGAGTGAAATCAGTCTTGACACTTACTAACAGTGCTGTGTTTATTACCTGGTTTTAATACACTGTAGTAATGTTTTGTATAATAAATCCCTGTGTTGTAGTCCATCACTGAAAGGGAAGTAGTATCCTGGAGTCTAGATAAGAAAAAAAAAAGAATTCAAAGGATTGAAGACTGACAGAGCTGCCACTAAAAAGAATCTGGGTTTAGGATGCCATCCCAAATTTCACATAAAACTGGCTTTTTAACATTTTTTTAATGGTGGACCAGTCTGAGTCCCTTCCATATACCAACCGATTACTGAAACATCACAGTGTCAGCAGCAGCAAGGAAGCAAGCAGGATGTATCGTCACCTGTTCAATCTTGGGGAAATTTCTCTGAGTATCCCTTTCGCCTTCCTTCTTCCCCTGTCCCCCCACCAAAGTTCTTTCATAGGAAAAAAATAAGTTAAAGTAATGTTAGGGGCACCTGGGTGGCTCTGTCGGTTAAGCCTCCGACTTCGGCTCAGGTTACGATCTCGTGGTTTGTGAATTTGAGCCCCGTGTTGGGCTCTGTGCTGACAACTCCCAGCCTGGAGCCTGCTTCGGATCCTGTGTCTCCCCGTCTCTCGGCCCCTCCCCTGCTCATGCTCTGTCTCTCTCTGTCTCTCAATAATAAATAAATGTTAAAAAAAATTTTTTTAAAGTAATGTTAGAGGTAGTAACTCAGGTTAAAAATCAACCACATTCATTGGGCATACATAGAGGTAGCACATAGACTGACATGAACACTAGCCTCAGGCATGTTGAGCGTTGTAGGGTAAAGCTGTGTTCTTCTGTCAAACCTGCGTCTACACTTGAGCACCACCAGACATTTTCTCTAACCTGATTTAAATATCCCAGGAACACCCATCTACCTCTGATATCAAAAGTGCGACATTGTCTTGGGTCCAAAAGGACAGTCTCTTGCGTCTGGATTTCTTAGAGGAAGATTTTCCTTGGTCATAATTAAATAAGGCAAATGCCTGTTTATGTTAAAAAAAATAACAAAAACAGACATTCTTTGACTTACAATCCAAAACTCATCGCAAAGTACATGTTTGTTCATGATTTTCCTACTAAGCTTCTTGTCTTTCACAAAGTAATATTCCACAGACTGTCTTCAGATTTTGATCTTAGTTTTTTAGCTTCGTAACAAAGCTGCCTTAGACAGTAGCCCCTGTTCACTCTCTTTCATCATTGTGGTCACCCGTGGCCAGCAAAGCATCTGCCCTGGTCTGGGACACTCAGCTGAGCACGAGGGAAGAAATAGATACAGGCATGGTCAGGTCTGAAGCAGCTGATGGTCTGGTTGGAGAGACAGGATGTGCACATAAGAAGATGGACTCATAAAACAAGATACGATTTAAGTAATAGAGATAATGCTACTTAAGGTCAGAGGGAAGGATGATCCCTGAAGGCCAGGGCAGCTGAGAAAGGCCTTGAAAAGGCCCGACTTTAAGCTTGACCTTAAAGCTAGGATTTCAGTCAGTACGGTATGAGAATAAAAGGTCAAAGACAAAGGAGTGTGATGGGTTAACAATGAAAAACAAAGTTTATTTTATAGCAAAGAGCAGGAAGGTAGAGGGAACCCGTTAACCACCTCATACAACGGCTCAAGTCTGAGTCTTGAAACCTAGACCAGGACGAAAGGAAAGGCAAAGATGGATGAAATAAAGTTTAAAATGGAGAATCAACAGTCCCCAGTAAGTGGCCTATTGCCCTCCAGAGCAGGGTTTAGCAAACTGCAGCCCACACAAAAAGTTTACTGACTCCTGATCTAGGACCGTGAGATCACTAGAAAGATCCATGCTTCTAGAAATCACAGCTTGCGATCAGTAGTTCTGTGCAATGGTGTTTCTGAAGTTCACTGAACACAGACTGTCTACCATAGTCTCCATTATTCAATTCAAATAATTGAATTGAATTGAATTGAATTGAATTGAATTGAAGGTTAAAGGTTACCTCCATGATCAGCCTCCAAAGCAAACACTGGGCGCTGACTGCAAGTTCTGACACCAAAATGGTTTGAACTGGTCCAGAAAGGTCAGATCAAGGAGATGCCCTGGTAGCCAAAAGTCATTTCCAACATCGATTAGTTTGCACGTGGGACCTTCTTAGAGTCAAGGCTTATTTCAAGCATTCTTTAATTTAGACTTGAACCTTGGGCCAGCTCTAAAATTGGACAGAATGACACAACGCATACTTCCCTTCTTTGTCCCCACTCACTTTGCCTGGGCAGCCCTTACATATCCGTAAAACTCCTCCCGGATGCTGTGGGTCTCATGAGGCGGCCTTTCTGCACAGAGCAGTCTGAGCCTGGTGCCTTTCCCATCCTCCCGCTAACCTGCCTCACGTGGCACAGTGTGGCCCTTCCCTCACACACACCCACTGTCGCTTTTCTCTCCTGAAGTCCCCTTCGTCTCTGTACCCCTCTCTTCCACCTCCCAGGTGCTCAGATGCATGGGCGGAATGAACATGGTTATTATCTCTGCTTCTGAGAGGGTTCATACTGTTCTAGGAAACCTCTCTGTGTGCCACTCGTTATTTTCTCCACCTTCTCTCCTCTTGAGCTCATATCCTTATGTATCTTGTTTCTTCTCTCAAATATTCCTGTTTGTATTAGAACTTGTCTTGTTCTGTACCTAGAACTGAAACCACGTATTTTCACATACTAAAAACCTGGACTAGAGCCCAAAACCTACAGCAGTAGGATAGCAGGTACCATGTGGGCACATTTTCTGTGTGTGTGTAGATTTCTTAAGTTAAAGACCCCCCAAAAAACCTGTATTCCCTCCCCATTGGGTACCAGTTGCCAAGTTTAATGGATGTTAAAATGAATTGTCTGTTATTAAAATCAAACAAACAAAGCCACTTGCAACATGGAAGAAATGGAATAGCGTTTCATTCAATGCTTGTTCTCAGGAGATGAGGATACCAACTGGAGGCAGCAGCAACAGCGGAATATTCCAATCCATTCGTGCCCCAAATGTGGAGAAGTTCTGCCTGACATAGACACGCTACAGATCCATGTTATGGACTGCATCATTTAAGTGTTCACACCCCACTTCCCCCAAACTGTTGGTAAATATCAGATTTTTTCCTCCAAGAGTTGTGCTTCTGTGTTATTTGTTTTCACTCAGACATTTTGCCTCATTATGCTTATTTTAGGAGGAAGAAAATCAATATGCCCTAAGTAGGACATTTTTTTGTGGATTTCCTTAGAATCCTTAACGTGCCACTCTTCTGATAGATTCTTTATTTTTGAGGGGGTTCCGTGTATGTGAGCTGAACTGTTCATGCAGTTAATAAGTGTGTGACATCATGGGACAGGGTAAATATAACCAATGGAAGAGGCCTCACAGATGAACATTGAGAACCTTTTAAGGAGGCAGGAAAAATGAAGTGGCTACAGATTTCATCAAGAAAAGTCATCTTTGGAGGTTTTTAAAAATAAATTGTTATTTTTCTTGATTTAAGACACATTTATACGGGGTTGTGTGTATGTTGTAGTTTTATTGCAGCCACAGTAATTGTACCAAAGGTGATATGGCTCTTTTCATATGAGCACTGTGGGCTCTTACTTGATCATCCAGACAAGTGACAATATATCGGTATATGTGAAGTACATACATCAGGTTCACTGGTTTCATTGTGCTGCAGGTATATGGATGTGTACAGTAGTTTATTAATTTCCAAAATAGAACAGCTGTCTTTTGATTTTCCTGGCTCAAGCTGTATACTCGTTATCACAAAAATAGGTATTGTAAAATACAATTTTGCTTTTGAATCTTTCACATCGTTCATATATGATTGGCCAATTTCATAGGCTGTATTTTTCCATATTCAGCTTCATGGAGGCTTAATACTTATTCATATCTGTTTTGCTAAGTCTATGAATATATACAAATCCCTTTACTAGAGGCTAGTATTTGTTGTTTGAATTAAAAATTATTCTTGCTAAGGAGGTGAAAAAATAGAGATTTGCCATATTTTGTAAATCTACAGTTTACTGAGATTAGCTAATACTGGGCCAGTCATAAAAGTAAACAGTGTCCTTGTGTGTCTATATCCTAGAACGTTTAGAAGAAAATTAGGCAAACTTGATTTAATACACACACACACACACACACACACACACACACACGTGTGTGTGTGTGTGTACATCTGTGTTTTTTAAACCAGGAATCAAAACTGCTAATTCTGTCTTCATGCCAAGAGACCACACTGCACAGATTCACTAATAACTGAGATTCCCCCATGTCAGTCCACAGAGAATGCTTCTTAAAGACATTTCTAAAATAACCATGAAATTCTCATTTTTAATTTCTTATTTATTGTTTCTAGTTTAAACTTTTTTCCTTACTATTTTATATTAGAGGAAATAGATTTCAACAGTATCTTAAATAGAAAAGCAACCCAAATGGTTTCACGTTTAAGTTAAGAGACTATCCTTTTATGTTGTTCAAGTAAACATATTAAGCTGATCCCAACCCTGAAGTAACAGTGTGAGTGGGCTTATTAAGCCTGTGATCAAATTGTCTGCTGGATAATTAAAAGGATTGCAAAAGAAGGCTAGTTCAAAAAGTCACCTTAAATTAAAGCTCCTCTACTGAGGGAATCAAACAGTTTGGTAAACAGTTTGTAAACTCTGTTCATGCCTTCTCTAAATAATTAGTCTCTTCAGAGGCCTGGTTCCATGTAACCAGGTAATGACACCTCACCAGAATGTTGGCCCCTCTTCTGGGGCCAGTTCTACCGTGTTCTCGAAGTGTGGCTGACTGGGAGCAATAGAAAAATGGAAACTGGAAAGAGATAGGAACAAGCCAATGAAAATTTTATACCTAACTAATTTCATAATATTGATCCTTCAAATATTGTATTTTAAAGTCATTTTGATCTAGTCTGGCCTATAAGGAGCTTAAAAGTCATCACTTTCATCCTTGTAACAAGAAAAAGACTGGACAAACTCAAAATCATCAACTCTCTTTAAATCCCTCAGAGAACTGAAGTCACAGGGCAAACCACTGCCCAGATATTAGAGAGACAGTCAGGTACAAAGAGTCTCAGATTTTACCAGATCAGGGTCTCAGGAGCAGAAAGCACTCAGTCAGCATCTGAGTAGGAGAACTTAAACTAATTGAAGAATTGCCAAAGGCTTGGTGTGGACAAACTTGAGAATTAAAAACGCCAGCAGGAGTCCATTCTTAAGAGGCCCCCACACTTGTGTGAGTTTTAGCTCCAGGAGCCCTAGGAGCTCCTCATAGTGAATATTTCTGAAAATTCTCCCCTGCTTTTTAGCAGGAGGAGGGGGAAAGTAGCCATTTTGAAATACACCGCGCTCTCTGTTCTTCTTAGGAAGGCCTTCCCTCAGGGGAAACTGTTTCACCAGAGTCTAACCTTGCTGGGATATTATCAGAGCCTCACTGACCTGGGGGAAAGGAAATACCCAACTCCAGCCCCCTCTGCTTTTACTCCTCTCACCTAAAGAGGAGAAAAAAGTCTGAGAAGCACTTGTAAAGGTCACCCCCTAGAGGCAGAGCTCAGTAAAAGACCGAAACCTTATCACAGGACTGCGGAACTCTTCTCCCCCACACATACCTTACCACATCAACAAGGTGCCTGCATAATAACGAGATTACAACTGGAAGAACTCATATTTGGCTTTACTTAAGAAAAAGTATATAGGGAAATCCGAAGACAGCGAAGGAGACAAAACAAGAACAGCAGAGGCAATTCCAGCCTGTGACATCTACAGCTGCAGCAGGCAGTAAACACAGTCCAGCTCTTAGCCAGGTAAACATAAAACCTCACACTATAGACTCACTTACCTCAGTTCCTTTTACTTGCTACATCACTTCCATTTTTCAACAAGAAATTATACTGCATACTAAAAAAAAACACAGTTTGAAAAGATGGAACAAGCATCAGAACCAGACTCAGATAGGATGATTATAAGATTGGAAATTGCAAACAACTATGATTACTACCCTAAAGGCTCTAATGAAAAGAGTGACAACATGTAGGAACAGAGGGGTACTATAAGCAGAGAGATGGAAACCCTAAGAAAAAATCAAATGGAAATACTAGAAATCAAAGAAACTGTAACAGAAATGAAGAATTCCTTTGATGGGCTCATCAATAGACTGAACATGGCTGAGAAAAAATAAATCTGTGTACTTGAAGCAATGTCAACAGAAACTTTCAAAACTGAAATGCAAAGAGAAAAAAGAATGCAAAACAACAGAATATCTGAGAACTGTGGGGAAAAATTTTTAAATGTAATATATGTGCAATGAGAATATCAGAATGAAAAGAAAGAAGCTGGGTGAAGTAATTATGGCTGAGAATTTTGAAGAATTAATGACACAAAACTACTGATCATGAAGATCAGAGATCATCAAGCAGGTTAAATGCCAGAAAAAAATCTTCACCTAGGTATACCATATTCAAATTACAGAAAATCAAAGGCAAAGAGAAAATCTTGAAAGAAGCCAGAAAGAAAGAAAATCTTATCTGTAGAGGAACTAGGATAAGAAATATATCAGACCTTTAGAAACCATGAAAGCAGGAAGAAAGGAATGAAATATTTCAAATGTTGAGAGAGAAAACCCACCAACATATGGTTCTGTGTCCATGGAAATTTTCTTCAAAAGTGAAGGAGAAATAGACTTTCGTAATAGACAAAAGTTTATGGAATTTTTTTGCCAATTTATGCTTCATAAGAAATGTTAAAAGTTATGCAGAGAAAATGAAAGTCACATGGGTCAGAAACTGAGGTCTATGTAAAGAAAGGACAATCATTAGAGAAACAATAAATGAAGATAAAATCTTTTGTTTCCTGTATTCTTAATCTAACAGATTAACAGTTTGTTCAAAATAAAAGTAGCCACGTGTATTCAGTGATTATAGCTAATGGATCAATGAAATGAATAACAGCAATGTTATAAGGGATGGGAGCAGAGGAAGTGGGATACTCTGTTACAAAGTATTTCCACTCCCCATGAAGTGGTACAGTGTTCCATGAAAGCGCACTTGGATTTGTAGTTAATGTACATTGCAAACTCCAGTGCAACCACTGAAAAAAAAATATTAAAGAAGTATAATTGATACACTAAGAAAGGAGAGAAATGGAATAACATAAAATGTTAAGTTAAAAGCAGAAAATCCAGAAATAGAGTGAAAGACAATAGAAGAAACAAAAAACAAGGGTAAGAATAGAAAACAGTAACAAATATGGTAGATATTAATCCAGTTATAGCAATACTCACTTTAGACATCCTCTAATATATACTCTAAATATACCAATGAAAAGACAGAAATTGTCAGAGTGGATTTAAAAAAAACAAAAACAAAAACAAGATTCACCTATATGCTGTCTATAAGAAACCCACTTTAAATATAAAGACACATATAAATTAAAAATAAAAAGAAGGAGAAAGAAATAGTATGCTAACACTAATTAAAAGAAAGTGAGATAACTGTTAATTTAAAGAAGTCTTCAAAGCAAGGAGAGTTGTCAGGGATAAAAAAGGGACATTACAAAATGATAACGAGGTCAATTCTCTAAGAAACATAACAATCCTTAACATATATGCACCTAACAACAGAGCACCATAATACATAAGGCAAAAAGTGATAGAAGTGCAAGAAAAAAAAATAGATGAATAGTTAAAGAATTCAAAATCTGTCCATCAGCAATTAATAGACCTACTGCAGAATATGCATTTTTCTCAAGTTCATGGAGAACATTCACCATGATAGACCACATTCTGAACCATAAAACACAGCTTAACAAATTGAAAACAACAAAAATTATACACAGTATGCTCTCATACTACAATGAAATTAAACTGGAAATCAAAAACAGAAAGATAACTAGAAACCCTCAAAGAATATTTGGAGATTAAACACACTTGTAAATAATACATGGGCCAAGGAATACTCAAGAGAGCTTTAAATACACTTTAAATGAAATGAAAATATAACACAAAGTTTGTGGAATGAAATGAAAGCCATGCTTAGCAGGAAGTGTACAGCATTGAATGGAAGA